GCGTCTGTCACAGTTAAGGCAAAGTTCCGTGGTTCTGCTTTATAACTGCTACTCCACCTTAAACCATTCCGCCTTAAAAGAGCCGTCTCGTTCACAGTACATTCAGAATGATACAGCATAAAGTCCATTCATTAAAACACTCAGACAAGTTGCGTTATGAGTTGTGCAGTTTCCAAAAAGAAATGAAACAAATCAATATGAAAGAAAAGGCAGTCATTTTGAATTCAAATCCGGTAAGTGCTCACGAAACAGTCTGTTGCAAACTGAATAGAAAAAAAAGTGAATAATGAAATATGTAATGTTACCATGTCATCTTCTCCCATTTATACATTTAACTTTAAAAATGCTACAACGATATATTGGAATGAATTAGAAAGTTTACATAATAACATTCAGCTGATACTTTGCAGTTGTTGTTGACATTCTCTGGAGGTGTGAAGCTAACTGGAAGCACTGCTCTGTCTGCTGAAGCTCTGTTACTGACATTACACAATCTGACCAAAAAGAAATGACTTAGTTGGAAAAAACAAACTCCTAAACAGAACCATGAACACTTGTAATGATCACAGACTCCTGAAAAAGTGCCGTTTAAATTCATTTTGTATATTTTTTTTCTTGAGTTTTTAGACAGGGGTGTGCAAAAATACATATACACGTACAATATATCGTATCATTTAATATCATGGGCTGCTCTATCGATATCGCCAAGAGTATTTTTTGGTATATTTTACTAACTTATTTTGTTACAGCCCTACAGTTTTGTGGATTGTTTGGAGGAAGGAAACTCTTTTATGCAACATACCGTATATTCTGAACTATTGAGCGCACCTGAATATAAGCTATTCATATAAATATAATGTTAAAATTGTACATATATAGGCCACAGGTGTCCATGTCTTCAAGAACGTTTTCAAGTTGGGGCCGTCTGCTTTTATCTCCTCTGAAAGCTTATGTCGTCTTTTTGCATTGAGTCAGTTTGTCACACTACCGTCGCCAAAATCTCACCATCGACTCACTAATGCCGAGTTCACGTGCAGCAGCTCTGTTTCCTTCACATCACAGTCACATCAATCGCTGTTAACTTAAAAGCTGCATCATCTGCATTTCTTTGTGTGTTTTCCATAAGAAGGGTGTGTGTATGAAGTGCATAATAACTGTTCAAAACACGATCAAACAAGCATCTTCCTCCCCGCATCACCCCATATCTCCCCGAGTTCTACTGCGCATGTCTCCTGCAGAAAGAGTCGTGGAGGATTTCAGACTCTCTCGGGGGCGGGGCTAGTTGTGTCAATCAGGTGTGAGTGAATGTCAGGCTACTGAAGTTTGAGATGTTTCTTCTCGTCATTTAGGCACACAGGTAAGACGTATCCCCCTCACTAATGTTCATTTAGCATCATAACTTATTTTGTCACATAGCAATAAACTATCTGAGTGCACTGACAATATCGCTGGCTAGTGTAGCAACTTCACGTGAACCCTAGATTCATGTGTAACTGCACAGACAGCTGCGAGTATCCGCTGTGGTGCCAAACCATAGACCATATGAAAGGACAATGTGCCAAACAAATAATCTGTCCATATATTCTCCGCGCCATTTTATTTATTATAAGTGTGAGAAAAAAGTAGCAGCTTATAGTCCGGAATTTACGGTATTTGATATTTTCACTGTTTTGATTATTAAAATATTTGTGTTTCATATTCACTTTGCACAAGAAGCTTTAAAAAGACTTTTAGTATCACAACCACGATTGAGCCTTTATTTTTTATTGAACCGTATTGAATCAATTTGAAATATATCGTATCAAATCGAAAGTGCACTGCATCGATATATGTATCATTTCGAGGCCTATGTATCGAGGTATGTGTCATATTGGTGACTTCTTAAGGCCTATTTTCATTTACTATCTTGAAACCTTTCTGTCTGTGATCACTATTGTGTGCTTTGTGTCACCATGGTAACTGCTGAACATTCCGCTAATACAGATACATGTAGAACACCCCCAGTGTCAAAGATGTAACTGCAAAGTATCAATACTTAATTACTTAATTGTATTTGTAAAATTGACATTATAAAATTTCAATTAATGAAGGATTTTAGTCAAAAGAGCTTGGAATAAAAAGCTTGTGTGATTGTTTTTGAGGAGAAATCATAATTGTACAAAATCATACCCTATTTTAGCCCTAATTATTATTATTATTTAATGCCCCCAAATCTTTAACCACATAAAGATACCGCTACATCCTGATATAAGAAAAAACTCCAGCTAGACTACAAAAAAACCAAAAAACAAAATAGTCATTATGAAAATTACTTGAATTTCAAATCGTAATTTCCGCATTTCTGTCAGTTTCAATTTAAATGCAAACTATATTACTATGTAATTTTCAAGGGGTATAGTCTGAAATCTCCTGGTCTCCATGGGGATGTTATTGTTTTACCTGGAATGTTCCACGGTATGGCATTAAACCTATCTGTGTCCATGGAGTGAGCGTGCAATTTAGCAATTAAAATTGTCTGTAATTGACTAAATGCAAGATAGAATAGTTTAAGTTTAATGCCATACAGTGGAACATTAGAGGCAAAGAAGATGCATATTGACATAAACAGGAGGCAGACCCTTTCCAGAAAAGTTACATAGTGCTACTTTAATTAATAACCCTACATTGACTGCCATGTTTTTGAAAATATACAGTACTAGTCAAAACTGCTTTATTAAATGTCCTATATTACGCAAAAATGACTCTTGTGAGCGTCATGTTATAATGCTGTTACCTCCTTAAAAACATACTTGGGAGTTGTGTTTTGTTTCATTCACACATGAGTAACCTTTATTATTAGTCTGTCTCCAAAGCTCAAAATGCTCCGTTCCACCTTGTGATGTCATGAAGCTGTAATTTTCAAGTTAGCAGCTCCTTTTACCAATGTTATTAGGTTCTTTTTTTCAGACCAAGAGTTTGTTTTCATACCTGACAGTTTGGATTGCTCCGTACAGTCTTCCTCAGAGTCACGTGATGGTTCTGTGACGTGTCGCTCAGCTGATTTAAACAGGTTTTGGTGCTGTCTTCCTACCGGTGGAGGCAGGACAGTATCTCAGGTGTGTGAGAGTAAAAAAGCCCCCTCATCCTGGTTTATAGTCTGATGGGCCCATTTCTGTATCTCAATTGCCTCTTTAATCCAGTGACGACGTTTGTTTTCCTCTGTCCCAGTGATGTTTGCTCCGTCCCAGTCCATAATGTGCTTCTCTCTCTTACAGTGCTCAGAGATGGCCGATTAGAGTTGTTCCTGTTCTGCTTTGTGTTTTGTTGTTCGGGTTCATGTTCACATTCTGTCCTATGTTACTTTATTCGTGTGCTGAACGCCCACCCTGTTTCCCCGATGTCTGTTTTATTGCAGGATATGCAGGGTATTTTGTATATGACATTACATTTATGCTGTGGTTCTGTTTTGTCACACACTTGGGATACTGTCCTGAGGAAATAGGACTGCAGGTGACGCTGTCTTCCTGCCTCCAAAGGTAGGAAGACAGTATAAAACCTGTTTAAATCATCTGACCGGACACATCACAGCAACATCACGTGACCACTCCGAGGAAGAAACTGTCAGGTATGAAAACAACTCTTGGTCTGAAAAAATAACCTAATAACATAAATTATCGGAAGACAAAATGAACCTCATTGGACTATGAGCTCCTTTTACTTTTGTTTGGCAATTGGCCATTCCGGGGCTGAAATCCAAATAATTTTAGTGAAGCTGTATAGTATTAAACAATATAGTGGAGCCCTTCCTCTTTTACCACATGACATCACTATGTAGAACAGCGTGCTTTCAGTTTGAGAGAAGAACTCAGCGTAAATATGCAGGGTTTGTGTGTTAAACATGCGTAAATGAAACAAAACAAAACAAAAAAACTCCAGGTCTGTTTATGATGAGGAAACAACATTATAACATATCAGAAAGTAGCATAATATGGGCCCTTTAAGTTGTTTTGGGTTTTTTTTGTGTGTGTGTGTTGCTTTAGCTGAGTGAATAAAACAAAACAAAAAAAGCACCGAAAGTGTCCTGTGAGTTGTGAAGCTATAGAAACAACAAAGCGAGAGTCCCAGAAGTGTAAAATTCAATAATGAAATCTCTAAAAACAGTCCCGTTTCCCTTCTCGATTTGTGTCATAAAAATATTTGGTCCCTTTGAAGAAAAAACGTGATAAATTAAAAACATTTCACACCACACCCTCGCACTTAAAGGCACACAGTCTGTTTGAATAAGGCCTGAGCAAATAGACTTCTACACTATAGACTTCTGCTCATTTATGGATATCTGGAGGATTTTAACTTGATGGAACACGGTGTAACTTTTCTGGAAGGTGGCCTGCAACCTGTTTGTTTCCATGGCGATGTTAATTTGGCTTGCAAGTCTCCATGGAGATTCATACATTTATGGACAAATTGTGGAACATTCTACGCACATCTCCATGGAGACAAGCAGGTGAGGGACCCTCCACCGGACGAGTTACATAGTGCACTTTTACGATCTTGGCAATATAAAACAACACTAAATGACCAAGCACTTTAGTATTATCAATGCCTAATCAATAAATAGTATAAATGATAATCAAACATTGTACAAAAGCGAGCCCATAATTCTCAGATATTTTTATTTTTTTGTTATGACATAATCAATTTTAGTTTTCAGCATTTTCCTCTATAAACCTCTTTTATATTAGATTATATTTTATATAAGATTTAAAACATTAATACAAAGTAGAATGGTGCATAATTGTTGAAAAGAAATCTAAATTTCTAGTTTAATTTTTTTTAACGATAATTTTAACACAACATTACTGTCTCCATAGAGTGTAGTTAAAGGGACAGTCCAGAATTTTGGACATAGGACCTCTTTTCCTAGTGAGCCAGAGTGTTGGAGACGTGTGGAGACACTTTTTAAAAATATTCCATCCAGTCCTTGTATTTGCAGAGGTCGCTGGTGCTAGGCTAGTGCATGTCAATGGCCATAGTTATCCTGCCACTACAAATACTCCACAAAGCACCCGAGGCAAAACAATTATAAAGCTAGACTGTCGATGCGAATGTCTGTGCTGATAGAATAATTATAGAAGTAAAACCAACCTTGCATTTGAAGGATTTAGATTCATGGTTGTACTTCCTGATAGAAAGCTTGGCAGTGGTGGACTGATATCACCTAGCACCTATCTTAAGTCAAATTCCGCTGCTGCTGAGAAAATAGTCCATCGACATGCAACGATTCATGCGATGCAATGTTAGTTTTATTTCAAACATTATTCTATCAACACAGGATTTACATGGATAGTCTGGTGTAATAATAGTTTTGTTTCGGGTGTTTTGTGGAGTGGGTAAGACTGTTTTTAGTGGCAGGATAACTATGGCCATCGACATGTGCTAGTCTAGCACCAGCGACCTCTGCAAATACAAGGACTGGATGGAATATTTAAAAAAAGTGTCTCCACACGTCTCCAACACTCTGGCTCACTAGGAAATGAGGTCCAAAATTCCGAACTGTCCCTTTATGTTTAATGCTATACTTGGAACATTCCATAGCACAACTTAAAAAATCTTAAAGGTCTCAGTTTTTTTTTTTTTTTTTTTTTATACGAATCTAAATTTGTCTTGTCCCAGTACAGATATGCATTATATGTAGCTCATTAGGTAAAAATAAATCCACTGCTTCTAATTGGAAATAATCTAAAGATGTGTTATAGTCAGGAAGTGTGCGTTAACATGCTAGAAAAGCATGTATAAACTATTTGCAGTGAATAATTAGGATGCTCTGAATGCATAAGGTAAGTGAGGAATAAGTTTGTGCCACTGCAACCTGTTAAAAATGAACAAATTCTGTTTTTCATGTTTTGTAGGACACTAAAAATCAGATGCAGCACCTTTAACATTTCGAAGCGAGCCAAATTGTATGCTAATGACTCCCCAAAAAATCCATAAATGAGCAGAGAAAATTTTAATTCAAATATAGATTTCTTTCTTCTCTCATTTCTTGGTGTCTGTGAGGATAATATTAGCAGTTACAAACATGAGACAGGACGCGGCCCACACCAAAACAAACCAAACCCAGAAGGCATGTCTGAAGGGGGACTGGTGCTTATTCACTGCATCTCTCCCCATTACCGGCTCCAGATGTCTCCTTGAATAGTACACCAAACAAGCTGGAATCACATACTGTATTCCCGTGCCAGCGTATGCCCCTGTAATCCCAACCAAGGACTCCAAATTATGTGTACAAAACGCCACAACCACCGGGGGCACTAGAGTGATCAGGGGAAACACGATTCGGTCGACAATCCACGGATACGTCCCACCTTCTCGGTGGAAAAGCGTCTTCCAGTTGTTTCGCAGCGTCACGGCGATGATCGGGAAGTTCGTGCTTATCGTGAAAACTGGAAATAGTCCAAGGAAGTATCGCAAAAACGGGATGTCCAGTACGTTGCAGTTATCGGTGAAGTTAAGCGTGTACATGTCGTGAAGGAAGGAGCTATCGAAACAGAAGATGGCGGTCAAGGAGAGTAAAACGTAGAAGCCCAAAATGAGGGTGTAGTCGGCGAAAACGAAGGTCCCCACGTGCTTTTTGTTGGAGATCGGAGTGATGAGAGAGGGCAGCGAGTGCTGACACATGAAAGAGTAGACGCAGACTCCGAACAGGTTAGGAACCCCCGATAAAGAGGCGACCGGGGGGTGGCCGTCACCCGAACCCTTACCGATACTGATCAGAGCCAAGATGATCATCATGGTGAACGCTGTGGACACAAGAGAGAGGAGAGAGGTTAGATGAGGTGATTATATGTTCATTATACCACAGTCAGTGAGGATTCTAATGGCCAACTGCTGGTGTTAATTTTGCATAACGCAGAAGTAACAGTTAACAGGTAATGGTAACAGTTAAATCACATTCTGTATCACTGCTCTGCGGCCATCACTAGTCACACTTTGCAGCTGATGGGGTCTAATGCTCATGTAGGCACTGCTTTGTCTGAAGCTCTGTTATTCAAGTTAGATTTTAATCTCAGCTTCATTTTAAGACAATCCAACTAGAAAGAGCTGACTTAGTTGGAACCAGGTGAGCTGATGAACAGTTAGTCCTCTCAAATAACATTCCAGTCACAAGCTGGCTGGCATTAACCATCAGTTTTTTCAGTTAGTGGCTCTTACCTGCGCAAGCTCACTGCGAAGTGTAAATTTAAATGTGTAAACAAAAGCTCATCTGTGTTGATTCTAGAACAGGGGTCTGCAACCTTTTTCCACTGGTGAGCTACTTTTACAAAACAAAAACACCAGAGAGACACTCATTTTAGTGGTGGCAAAAAAAATAAGTAAATAGAAGAGCCACAGTAAGCCTTAGATGGGGTGCAGTTAGATGCCTTTGAAAGATTAGTGCACACAGTTAGGCACATTTACAATGTAATAAGCAGTTGTTCAGCACAATACTCATAATTCAGAAATCCATTGGTGAGCTACTTGGAAGGGTGTGGAGAGATACTGGTAACTCCCAATCTCCAGGTTAGGGACCCCTGCTCTTGAATATAGGGACTACCTTAACAGTCTTTTTACAATCACAGACATTTCAGTTTGTAGCTGTGGTATAAGCGCATTAAACAACTTGGAGCAATGCATTATGCAGCTGTAAACCACTTTGTGCATTTGAAGTAGATAGCGTTTGACTCATTTAATGCTTACGTAATATTTTTACTTTTAATTGAATTTAAAAAGCGACAGATACAAGACACTTAAACATATGGCAATGGGAATATACTGCTGCACATCACTGCCTATAGTCTTTCACTTCTGTAGCCACAGCTGCCCTGGGGACAGCATAAGGCTGCCGTGTGGGCCTGTGTGTGGCTTTCAGCTTCCTGTTTATATATAAGCAACATTTCCAGCACTTTTCACCATTCAAAATGTTTATTATTTACTCAAAATTATATCAATAGATCATCTGCATTTCTTCTCTCAAAAAGAAAACACTCCATCTTGTGAGGTCATGTGGTAATACAGCAAGTGCTCCACTGTGTTTTTAAACTCCACACACCTTCATTAAAATCATTTGGATAATTTTAGCCCTGAAATTTCCTCTTTCTACAAAACTTGTATGTTTTTGAGGAGGCAACAGCAGGTGTAATATAGGACCCATCGATCATTTTATATTTGATGACAGTATTGCGCTAATGTACCATGTATTTTGTAGTATAGGTAAAAAAAAGTTTGCCAATACTTTCCAAAATAAAACTAAACCATGTGAATTCATTTGCTCCAGGATTGATTTCTTTCCCCTTTCTCCATTATCTTCCAACACAAATGTCCACAATCCAGGTGTGTCCCTCTGCTGCTCCTGTCTCTAATGCATTTCCTAAAGACTGACACCTGGTAACGCACCATGAACGCCACGCTGTAAGATCTGACACTGTGAGGGGGCAGCGAACGCGCCCCACACACTTTCATCATGAACTAAGCTGTGAATCCAAACTGACATGCTGAACCTCAGAACCAATTTACTGTACGTTACTGTCACTGTACTGTTCGATATTGACCCAAATAAAGTGAGGGAACGAGGGAAGAGAGCAGAGAAGATTTAATGATGTTTTTCCATGAAACTTTAGATGAAAATGTGTAAAAATTGCATTATTACACAGGTGCAGCCTCAAAATTTTAATTTGAAGCGTGCAGTTTCTAATGGGTTGGAGGAAGTAAGTCAAAGAAAAACTGACTAAAATGTCCATATGCATTATTTAATGAAGTGCATGTGTCTTTAAATGTTTTTGTTTATTGCAGGAGAGGAGACTACAAAGACCATGATCCTTTGCTCCATTTCCATGCACCCACACATATGAATCATTTGGAAAATGACAGTAATGGTAAAGGGTGATCACCATTGGCATAGAACAATAAACAGTAAATATTTAAAATAAAAATTCTCGATTTTGCAGTTAAATTATTTGAAAAAAATATATATATTATTTGGGATTAAAATTTAAATCACAAAATATAGACTTGTCAAAATTCAAAAAGTAATGTTTGGTGATATATTTTTAAAAGTTCTTATGGATTCGACTAGTGAAATGAAGGCCCGTATAATTCAGAAAGTTTTTTAATTAAAACACAAAAACAAAACACTCAGTCTAGACTCTAGTGCAGCTGTTCTCAAACTTTTTAAACCAAGTACCACTTAAGAAAATATTTGGCCTTACAAGTACCACCAGATTTGAACCAGGTCTAAACAGGACTATTCAAGGGATAAACAAGAGATAGATTTCCAACACAAGAGGCAGTTTATCTCTTAAACAGGACCACGACTCTCGTATTGATCACAGGCTCAGGCGCCATTTTGCATTTTGCCTTAAATTTTCATCTTAAAACTTTTTGACAGTGTTTGCTTATGTGTCTTCATGGTAACTCCAAAACATTCCACCATTAGAGATACATGCAGAACACCTCCAGCACGACTACATTACAGCAAAGTATCAATAGCACTACACAGTTGCCATTTTAGTTCTAAACAAGGTCAAACTCAACAGAGGTCAAAAACGTGGAATAAACTGTCTCTAAATTCAGTAAATATTTGAACAGACACGCACGTTTGAGAAGCACTGCACTAACCCATTCTCCGTAAATCACAAACAGGGAAAACAGTTTAAACGGACCAATGGTGTTGCAGTCTTATTACTCCTGCACATTCTGCGGATATCTACAGATGGTTTGGCGCAGCTCCGAAGCATCTGGCCTGGCAGATGAGGGGCTGACGTGAGCCAAATCAAGCAAAAGGGATTTAATTATTGCATATTCATGTTAACTTCACTTTTATACGCTGATCCTTTACATTTTCAAGTCTATATGCAGAGATTTAAAAAAAGTTTGAAAACTTTGGCCCCAGGTGCATTTCAGATCAGTGAAGCATATTGTCATTACTTAAGAGTGCTGATAAAAAAATAAATATAAAAATTAAAATAAAAAATGTAGAAATGGCTGATGAATACTTTGCAGTGACATCAGGCTGGGCTTGGACTACATGTATGTCTATGGAGGAATGTTGAGCAGTTACCAAGGTGACAAATGCCTGACAAGGTGACACTGCCTGACAAGTTTAAAACTTTAAAAACTCAACATATTTTCAGGAGCTTATGCTCAATGCAAGCATTCATGGTCCTGTTTAGATGTTTGATTTTCAACAAAAAGAGCATAGAACTATAATAAAATCTGGAAGGTGGTGTCGTATTGTTTTCAGTGGCCTGTGCTCATTGGTAGCCAGGCTGGTGCCACCTAGTGCCTCTGCTCAATTTCATTTCTCTCCAGCGACTAGGTCAGGAATCAAAATACACTAGATGGTTCACAAAACCCCCGGATGTGCAAGTTCGGACATCAGCCAATCAGCGAAGGGCCACATATTCAGTGTTGTCAACGATTCCCGAGATTGAGGATTTAAAGCCGGAACAAAGAGAATGTTTGGTGAATTTCATCAAGGGGAAAGACGTTATTGTTCTTCTTCCTACAGGATCTGGGAAAAGCTTCATATAACAGTTAGCCCCATTAGCGGCGCATTACATACGTCACGACCAAATAGCAGTGATTGGTTAAATGATAAAAAGTATTCTAACACTGTGCAGTCAGATGGTTTCTACAAAGTGAAACTGGCTGATGAATCAGGCTAGCTCATTGGTGCATGGGCCCAAAATGATTTTCTCTTCCACATTACCTCCTCCCACCCATGTAAAGTCTGTAACACGTGGTGCATTTGGATCATTTAGACTGAGAGCTGCAAGAGCGGAGTTAGCGAGGGCTCAGAGCGGAGCTAGGTTTACTCTTACAAAGCTAACTTTTAGGCGCTTTGAGAATTTAAAGTTTGTGCTAGGAAAATAGAAAAGAATCCTACAAAATCCAACCTTTGTGAAAGTTGTCAATGCCCTGTCAGCTGAACACGGGCAGTTTGAATTCCCAAAATGCATTTGGGCCAAGCTCCTGGGAGCTGCAGGACCTGGAGTGGCCGCTAGTCGGCCTCAAGTGGGACAGAGGGGGAGTGCCTCATCCAGTTTTTATTATAGATCCATGGGTGAGAGTGATTAAGTGAAAAACTGTTGGCTAATGTTGGCGAGCTTGTGACTGTAATGTTTAGTGTGAGAGACTGTTCTGTTCTGTTCTGTTCTAGTAAAGCCTGTGCTTTATGGCCAGACTGTGTTAAAATGAAGTTCAGATTAAAGTCTAATTTGAGTTGACATCAGATGCAAAGTATCCATAAAAAAGAAAAAGTAAAAAAAAACTTGGCAATATATGAATAGAGCAGTTTATGATAATGAAGAATACATCTAAATATTGGTGCATTGGGATTCTAACAGCTTCTGACAGGTTCCCCAAGTTGAGAGAAACAATTCTGAGGAAAGTATGCCCTACCTTACCTTTAAAGACTTAGTATATAACTTTTAACCCAAAATTTGAGTAAAAAAGCATGAGTATGGTTGTATTTATTACACAGAAATACAAGCCCCTTTACTGTGAGCAGGATTGCATCTCCACAAACCTTATTTGGTCTGGGGGATGGCCTAGTACTGCCTGTTTCCATGGCCATAATATTCCACAGTAGGGCATAAAACACATCTATCATGGAGAATATTCAGAAGTATGATTTTAACTTTCTCTTTATGTGAAATCACGCAGTTGACACGCCACCTTCGGAAAATTATGTAATGTTGCTTTAAGTTAAAGATCTTTGCTTTATCTATCAGCTCCCACAAAAACTCTGCAAAGAATAAAA